TCATCTGAGAGGCCCACTTTCCCGGGTCAACTCAAAATTCACAGATAGTTTTAAGTGCAATCTCAAACACTTGGCTTATTTCAGATTTATTGAGATTTTCATCATCTAGTTTTCTCCCATTAATCTCTGGTTTCTCAGGTAGGGGCTTGTTTTGCAGGATTCTCAGTGCTTTTGCAGCTATATGGGGCGCCTTCTTACTAGTCCCTTCAGGTTTCCAGTGCTGTCGTAACAAATCTACAGGTCCTGACCATGTTAACTGCAATTCATTTCCCTTTATGGGCCTCAGCGTCAGTACCTCATCCTCGGGACAGAAAGTTCTTTCCTAGACCTTTTTATTATGCCAGCTTTTCTTCTTTTCTTGAGCACCCTTTAAGTTTTGCTCTGCTCTTTCTAAGGACTTTTGCAGACCCACACATTGGAAAGGGGTCGAGATCACTGGCAATGGGCATAGCTTAGCCCTCATCTTGTCATTTCCAGTACCTCATTTTTGGTAAGCATCACAGCTTTGACAATATTGTTTAACTTGGTTCCTCATCCCTGGCCAATAAAAGTTCTGTGCCACTCCTTGCTTAGTGTGAGAGATGCCCATGTGTGCTCCAAATACATCTTTGTGTGCTTTTTCCAAAATCTTTTCATGCTATTTAACTGGTACAATTAACTGTTTGTGGGGTCCCCCCATGAAGAATCATTGAAACCTCTCTGTATAATAAATCTTTGTCCACACAATATCTCTCTGGATATTCAGGGGTCAGTGGAATAGGATTCTTCTTAACTTTTTTGAAGCAATCGGTTAAGGAGTTATCTTCTTTCTGTTCCTTAATAAAGAAGGAACTTTTAGGGTTTCTCAACAGCACTAAATTAGCTGTCTCCCTCATTTCAGGCTGCTCCCCTAAAATGGGTCTTTGAATGATGGTTTCATTGCTTCCCTCAGTGGCTTCAATCTGCCTCCCCTGAGAGCAGGTTACCATTAAAACACTCTGCAAATGCTTAGATAGAGCTAAACCAATCAGACAAGGAGTTGGGATCTGATCTGACACTGCTGCTTTCCACATACCAGACCACCCATGGTACTTCAATGCCACTCTAGCTGTTGGCAAAACTACAGAGTCCAAACGGATGCCTTTGAGGGTGATGACCTCATGTTCTAACATTTTTTCTTTAGGAATGATGTCTGAGTGACAAATAGTAATCTGGGAATATATCTCTCTTAAACCCAAATACTTTATGTCATCAATAAAAATAGTCTCCCCAGAGCTTTCCAGCAAATCTTGGTCGCATTTGATAAAAAAACACTGTAACACTTAAGCCTCAGGATGTTCTGGGCTCTCTGCCAAGTCCGTTCCCTCAGCAATGGGTCAGTGCTTCAGCTGCAAAAGGCTGAAGGAGATTTTTTTTAGGCTTATTATAATTTCCATTTTTAGGCTTTTCACATTGAGCCAAAAATATCATTCTTCCCCATTTCATTAGGGTTTCATTAGTTTTCCCTTCCAGATTATTCAGTCTCAGCAGATTTGACTCTGAGACTGAAGCTTTGGCTTTAAAATGGCTTTCTTTAGCTTGCGTATTATTGAGACAATTTTTATTAAATTGGGATCTCTTACTGTCATCCCACACTTTTCTACTAATTTTTACCTCAGAAAATCAAGGATCTCTGATCCCACTAATAGAATCAACATATTCAGGTGCCTGTAGCACATTTTTAGGATCCTTATCCTTAACCAGATAATGCAACTCCCCTGGTAAAATTGAATTAAATTGCTCTAGTTCAAACACATTTTTCATTTGGTCTAAGGAGGTGACATGTTCCTGTTCCAACCATTTATTAAGATACAGAGTCAACCTTGCCCCAAGTTGAGCAAAATACTCCTCGGATTTTTTTTAAATAGCACAAAATTTTCTTCTGAGGTGCTCTGAATTAATCCCATACCTGGAATACACCATCTTTCAATAAGCTTCAAAATCTCTAGCTTATATCAGAGGCATCTGTGAATACATCTCAGATAAAACTCCCCCTATCTGTGACCTTAAAATTATCATCCTCTCATCACCTTTAACCCCAAAGTCCCAGCACACACTCTCAAAAGAAATCAGAAAAGATTCAGGACAATCTCCATTTCGATATTGGAGAAATTTATTTAGGTCGATTTTTGAGGGATTTACCACACTGGAATTATTATTTTGAGCAGCTAATTCCAATTTCTTCATCTCAATCTGGAACTGCATTTTTGTTATTATAAGCAGCTAATTCCAATGTTTTCATCTCTATTTTGAATTGCATTTCTCTCTTCCTTTGTTTGTTTTCTTGCTCAAATTCCCTTTGCCTGTTTTCTACCTCAAATTCCCCTTTCCTTTCCTTTCAAGTTCTCTGTTTTTTTCCAATTCTAATTGGTTTTTTCTTTTTCCAATTTTAATTGGTTTTTCAGAGCTTGCTCCTCTAATTGGATTTTCAAAGCTAGCTCCTTCAGTTTAAATTCTTGTTCTGGCTACCTTTTTTCAACATCTTGGGAGCTTTGGGTATTTTCTCCTACTGAGCCAATTATTAGTGAGCCCTCCGTTTCTTCATCACTTTGAATTTGAGCGTTCCCATTTCCCACAGCACCCTGGAGTTCAGCCTGTGCCTCCATAACCAACTTCTTACTTCGTTTGGGGGCGCATACATAATACAATTTCTTATTAAACTGTACTGGTTCTTTTCCCTCACCAGAGCCAGTGGCTTTTTTTCCCAGTGGCTTTCCTTCTAACTAGGTTGCACTTTTCCAAGCAGCTCACCTCGGCTACTCCGAAGCTCGCAACCCTTGCCACAATATTTTCCTGTCTTGGTGATTCTTGTCTCCAGACGCAAGAACAACTTCCTGCTTAGCTTTTCTTTACTTTTACTTTTAGTTTTTATTATCATCTCAAATCTATCCTGACTTAGGCTTCTACTCCATCTGCTATTGCTCCTTTCCTTCAGAGCTCTGGATTTTGAGCTAGCCACTTAGTCTTGTAAATCCTGAGATAAATGGTTTCTCTTGAGTAAGTATTTTCCCTGTCTTAGGATTCTCCAGATCTGGGTTCAGAATCCCCAAAACTAGGTCTCCCACAAGACTCTAATGGGTAACCACTTCTTACCACAGATCCTAACCCCTCCTAGCTAGGAATGACTTCAAACTCAAGCCCATTCATTTTTTTTCCACTGGATTGTTTCATATTCCACTGCTGCCACCAATTTGTCATGTTCCCACCTATCCCTTGGTTGTTTCATCAGTCCCAGGGCACAAGCTACGTGTTTTGTTGCTGCCACCAGTTGATTACATCAACATTGTTTATTATTAATCACAGAAGTCCAGGCAATGTGTCATTTTAAAAACCAAATAGGAATTGTTTATTGTTACAAGAAATTAAAGTTCAGTCAGTGTTGTAAACTGTCAACTAAAACAACCTTCCTTTCTATTCTCTACCACCTTCCCAAACTCTCTCTCAGCTCCAAACTCCCAAACTCAAACTCTAATCTCCAGTCTCTAAACTCCAATCTAAAACTCTCAATCGCCTCCTGCAGAGACTGTTATGACTCTGCCTCTCCAGCACTCTCATTGGTCCATGCAGATAGCATATGAATATTCATGACCTGGGTGGACACCACAATCACATACATGTCTGCAAGTGGACTTGGTGTGAGAAATCCATTTGTAGCACAACAAAAACATGGGGCTGACTATAGAGGTCATTACTAAAAGAGGAATTACTAAGTGCTGGTTGTGTATAATTGTCAAATTAAAGTTTTTCTCACTTCTAGGAACCTGCAAATTAGTGTGTTTTGTTCTGTGATTTCTCATCAGAACTAAGCACGGGCAAGTATGGTTTTCAGACCAGAAAATGCCTCTGTCATATCTCTTAAACACTACTGTGATTTATAACATGTTATCTGTATTGCATAGTTTGGCCCTCAAGAGAGGAAGCTAAGTTGCCACAATTTATTTCATTTCCTTGATTCAAGAAAGCAAATAACGCATTATTGTACAAATAGGGCATGAAGTAAATGGGATGTGCAGAGACACACAGAAAAACATTGTGGGGCATGAGGGGGAAGCATTTTTCTCAAGGCACTCCCTTCCTTCTCTAATCATTTATTTCCAGAAAATATAGCCAGGGGCAGAAAAGCATGCTTGTCAAAGCCAAAGGCATGAGGGTGCCTGTTAGGAGGAAGTGAATGGGCCAAGGGAAAGGCTACTGATTTCTCTCCTTTCAAGTGGTTCAGCAACAGTTGAAAATTAAGGTCTTTCAAGTAGGAAGAGGCTAAAACTGTCTTGCAATCTACACAAGACACAGTGCACTACTTCAGACATCCAAGTAGATCTTCCTGTTATAACCATGCTCTCATGTGGATTGTTTACTTTAATGAAAGGGAACCTTTCACTGATTCTGCCACAGCTTGTGCGTCCTCCTGGATAGTTAATGGCGCAAGGTCACAAAGGAGGGAAAGAGTGGGCAGGAAAATGAAAACAATATAGCTGGAGAGTTCTTGCAAATGACCAGATGTAATGGAGTGGCCCTGCTTCCATCTCTCCCTCCAGTACAGCCTGGTAGAAAAAGGTGGTGGATGATGGCTTTGAAAATGGAACTAACAGCTCAGTAGAACTGATGGTAACCCCAGCTTTCTTTGCTCATGCCAAAGTGAAATAGAACAGCTAGAGGTTATAGACTGCTTCCTTTTGTGCCCCTTGTTGAAAATGCTTTATTTTGATGACCATTCCTATTATGAGTACTGTACATCACATTTCAGTGCAGACACTACATCCAGGTAAAAGACCTTCATTGAATAAATCTAATAGTTAGTGCTCCTCTGTGGTATTCATTCCAGAAGCAGACTGATTTCTCTCCTTTCAAGTGGTTTAGCAACAGTTGAAAATTAGGGTCTTCTAAGTAGGAAGAGGGTAAAACTGTCTTACAATGTCATTGTTAAAAGCAACTTCTGAGCTTCCCTGTATTATTACGATTGTTTCCATTTTGTCCCCTTACAGGATGGGATCCTTTTATGCACCAGGACTAGTGGGCATAAATGTGCTACGTTTATTAACCTCCATGTATTTCCAGAGTTGGGCTGTTATGAGCAGTAACGTTCCCCATGAGCGCGTCTTCAAGGCATCCAAATCCAACAATTTCTATATGGGACTCTTGCTGTTGATCCTGTTCTTAAGTGTGTTGCCAGTTGCCTACACCATCATGTCCCTGCCTCCCTCCTTTGACTGTGGACCATTCAGGTAATGAGAGATCCCAATCCTCAATGCACACCTAACTTGTGGTGACCAGATTACCTTTGTATTGTTAGGCACACTGTGAGAAGCCTTGTGAAAAGTTACTCCCAGGCATGGTTGACTCAAAAGTAACCTGTCCCAAATTCAGGGGCCCTTATACACAGGCATATTCTTGTGTAATGCCAGTTCCTCCTCATTCTCAAAGGTGTCGCTCTTGACCTAAATAAAAGCAGGGATAGCTGTTTTGTTCAAACATTTAATCAATTTAGCCCCCAATTGGGCATAAGATTCTTCAGGCTTTTTGGTAAGGGAATGAAATTTTCATCTAAGGTGTTCTGCATTTATGCCAAATCTAGAATATACCATTTTTGTATATGCCTCAAAATCTCTAGCTTGCTCCAGAGGCATCTGAGAATTAAGCTCAGCTAAATCTCCACTTATTTGTGATCTCAAAATTATCATCCTTTCATCATCCTTAATCTCAAAGTGCCAGCACGCTCTCTCAAATGAAATGATGAAAGATACAGGGCAATCTCTTTTCCTATATTGGGGAAATACTTTTAAATCGATCTTTGAGAGATCTCCCTCACTAGCGCTGTTATTTTTGTTGTTATTTTGAGAAGCTAATCCTAATTTTTCCATTTGTATTTGAAATTCCATTTCCCTTTGCCTGTTTTCTTGCTCCAATTCTCTTTGTCTTAATTCCATTTGCTTTTTTTTCTTGCTCAAATGCCATTTGTCTGGCCTCTTGCTCAGCTTTAAGCTGTAGTTCCTGAGCTTTCTCTTCAGCCCTGGCTTTTTCCATTTCTAATTGGTTGTTCATAGCTAGCTCCTCTAATTGGGTTTTCATAGCTAGCTCCTTCAATTTAAATTCTCATTCCTGTTTCCATTTTTCAAAATCTGAGGAGCTTAGAACACACTCTCTCTGAGGCACCCTCATCAGTCTCTTCCCATTCCACTGAAGCCATTTCCCTCCACTTCCTGAGGTAAACTTTGTGCCTCTTGAGGATCAATTTCCTCCATTACTGGCTTTTTAGTTCTTTTGGGTGGCATAAGTATGTACTTTCTTAATAAAGGGACTGATTTCTATCGCTGAGTTAGTCAGGCCTCTTTTTAAAACACTTTTATTGCTGTTTTCTCTTCCCAATATTTTCCTGGGGTACTATGTAGCTCTCACTCGGCAGCTAAAGATGGCTACACTGGCCTCACACACAAGCTACGATGTTTCTCGGTCTGAAACAACCTTCTTCCTCCAGACACAAAACAAAGTCTATTTTCAAGCCTCTGCTTTTTATTTTCCTATCACCTCAGATCTGCTCTGACCCTGGCTTTCACCTATTATCCACCAGTGCTCCCTTATCTCTCAGAGCCTTGGATTTCAAGCTAGCCACTGGGTTTCTCAAATCCTGAGGTAAACAAAAAAAGATTTTTTCCTTTAGAGTCGGTTCCCTATTTTTAGTTCCCCCACATCTGTGTTCAGAAACCCTGCCACTAAGCTTTTCCACAAAAGCTCTAGGAGGTTCCCCACTTCTTCACCACAGAACTCTGACTAAAAGGTACCCATGGCTCCAGAAAATTAACTTTTAAACTTTGGCTTTACTGGATTACTTCGTATCCCGCTTCTGGACACCAATTGTGATGTTTGCCCTTGTGGCCCCTGTGTATCTTTCCCTCACAAAGGCTCACGTCATGTTTTCCTCTCGCTGCCACCAGTGGATTACCTCAATCCACAATATAAATGACATTTGTCTGAACACTTGACTTGTGAACAGAAACAGAACTTATTTATTGAAGTGAAGCAGACTGAATAATAACAGAGGTTTCTCAGATAAGCATTATACATAAGTAAATCATCAACAGTTCTCTCAGTACATACTTTTTTTCTCTTGCTATATCATTACCACCTGCTCTACCTATTTTCTTAACCACCTTTATCTTTCTCAATATCTGTTCCCTCTCTCTCTGACTAACCAGCCTTATCTGACTCCTCTTTCTCCTGCCAAAACTCATGTAGCTGCTGACTCCGCCTCTCCAGTCCTCTCATAGGTTCATGCAAATCAGCTTATGAATATGAATGCCATGAGTGATGTGGGTGATCGTCACAGCCACATTTCACACAAAATGAATTCCAGGCCCACTCAACTGTACAGAGGCACACTGAAATGCACACCTTTCTGGGCACATTTCCCTTTTGTCAGGTGAAGTATTAAAAGCAAGCACCATGAAAGAGGAGGAAGAATGGAAGTGGTGGGGAACACTGATTTTAAGTCCTTTTCATCTGCACTTTAATGCAGGATCTAATTGAGGAGTAATGTAGCAGACGAAGGAATGTGTCTCAATGCAGGTGACACAGCATTGTTAGGTTTCACCCAGAGTGGCCAACAATTCCTCGCTGAGGACGAGAAAGTTAGAAACTTAAAGTCCTCCATCTTAGACAACACAAGTCTTCCACAACTCATAGCTGCATAAATTATGCAGATAGATACAAGAAACAGAACTGTTAGTATTACTGTAGGAATATACTTCAGAGTTTATATAGTAACAGCAAAAAAACCTGAAGACACCTGTTTGGCTGGCGCCCATATGACACCACAACTCAGCTCCTCTAACCACAACACCTCATTCTGCAGTAGCCTTCTCCAAACTGAGTTAATGATGGACAACTCCCTGAATTCTGAAATTTAGAAGAAATCTCCAGTATGGTCACATTCTTTCCCTTCCATCTGGCCAACCCAGATGAGAAGAGGAGAGAATAAACCAGTAAGCAACTAAAGAATAGAATAGTGCAGAACTCTGTGCTCCACGTTTGGTAGGGCAGAATGGCAGGGGAAACCCAGAAGGACTACATGGGACACCATCTTTGCACAGTCAAGAGCGATGAATATTTTACAGAAAGGGTTAAAATAACACTCAACAAGGAACCAGTGTTCGGAGGTGGGGGGAGAGAATCAAATTGCACAATGCTTTTTCTTTACCAATATCTAGTAGCTAGGCATCTGGTCTAAAAATTTAAGAGATTCATTCATTTCATTCAAACAAGATTTAATTGTGATATTTCATGTTTTGAGTTGCTCACTGTTGCCCTTTGGAAAATATCTTGCCTATTTTATAAATGGTTAGAATCACCAAATAGTGATTGAATAACATAGATCAAAACTAGGATGTAAACGTGAATTTAAATCTGGAGGGCAGCGAATAGTAGAAAAGCAGAAAGTTTGAATTTTGATATTGCAATATGAATAGATTGGATATCAGTATATTTTGTGTTTCTCCCCCCCATCCCCCCTTACATTTTCCATTACCTTCTGTATCCCATACCCTATCCCAAGTCATTAAATTTTAAAAAAAGGAAAACATCTTGCCTGAAAAAGATTTAGCTACATGGCAAAACAAGTTCAGGATGGGGGCTTTTTTTAAATGAAAAACTTGAACTTCAAAAGTACTAGTCCAAATTTCTCCAAATTTGGCACAGACTAAGCCCATACTGCTATTAGTCTGCCAGATACGGTCTCAATGCAAGAAATGGTTCAAAAGAGAAGACTTTCAGTGTTGCGAGGGGGGAAAGGTATGTATGAAGCATATTTCTGAATTCTTTTAAATAACCCTGTTAGTCTACAGTTGTCTTGCCCTTTAAAACTGCATTATAGACCATAGATGACTGGACATAAAGCTTGCAGCTGCTATCCTTAAAGAAAGAAACAGCCCTGTATATAGTAACAATGAAGTATCATACTCTTGATAGTTACAAAATGGTGCATGTTGATATAAAATGGCATGCTTTTTGATCAAATGGTGATCATCATCTTTTTTAAAACTAAGAGTAATTTACTATATTACATTTAGGAACAGAAAACGGATTGTTGTTTTTCCACACAATGATGTCTGGATACATTGGTCTTTCACCTATGCGGTGTGTGTGTGTGTGTGTGTGTGTGTGTGTGT